GGGGGGCTCGTCTGCTACGTGGACAGAAGACTGAGGCGAAAGCTGCACAAGGTGAGGGTCTTTGTCATCAGATCCATGCCTGCCTGCAGCGCCTGCTGACAGGCAGCAGTAATCACAATGACACCCCACGCAGAGTGCTTCCTAAAATAGTTTTGCTCCCCGCACCACTGCCGGGTACCCCAAGAGTGACCACCCCCACCCCCGCCACGCATTCGGCCGTTTTTCGCCCCCCGCACCTGCCCCAGCACCGCCCGATGACGTCACCCAGGGTCCCAAACAGCAGCATGCCGGCGATAATGCCCGCGACCTGCACAAAATTCATCGCATGGGTCTGGAGCAGGGGTAGGCGGTGGGGGGGGTGAGTTTGGGAGGTGATACATGTGCACCAAGGGTGAGGGGGAGCAGAGGGGGCGAAACAGGGTTTAGCAGGCAAGGCCGCCGGGGCCTGGCTGTGTGTGTTCGGGCAGCTGCTTGTTGCGAACTTGACTGAATTTCCTGGCCGTGCTGCCGAGCGGCATCCCTCCTGTGACTTCAGAGCCGTGCCAGGTGCGGACGCGACCGTGGCGCAGGCCCAGCAGGCGTTGGCCTCCCAGGCATCACCGCGGGCCCCGCGCACACTGCTGGGCTCTGGGTGTGCCGCGCTGCCGCACCTCTTCGTCGCTGCAGGCTGTGTGGGTGTCGAAGCAGGCTGGGTACATGGCCTTTTGCAGCGGCTTGATCAGGCCCAGGCTGAATATGATGTAGGCTGCGGTCAGGCGCGAATCATCAGCAGCGGCAGCGGCAGCGGCGGCGGCGGCGGCGGCGGCGGCGGTGGCGTTGGAGGGAAGACGCAGGTGAGCAAAAGGTGGTCGATGCAACGCAGTTCAGCCAGGTTGGGGCAGCTGTGCATGCACGTGGTGGCATGCCACTGCGCTTGTGGCTGGTGTGCTTGGCTAGATCCATCATCGCTGCCAGCGAACGGCAGCAGGCACAGCCTGGTGCCCCCACCCCTCTTGCCCAGGCTGTTGACGCCGCGCCCATCAAGGCAGGCAGCTGGCCCCCCAAACCCTGTTGGTGACCGCGCACCTTCGCTGAACATGCCCAGGCCCGGCACAGACCAGGAGGCCCACCACTTAAACAGCGCCTTGACGGGGTGCGGCTTGCGCTTTGGGCTGGTGTGAGGCGAGGGGGGGTCGCACAGAGGGCGCAATGACAGCGGCTGGCGCGGCCGGCGAGGAGTCCCACGCTTGCATGCATGTCCTGAACTCTGTCAATGATCCTCTGCGCGGCATGTTGCGGCTGTAAACGACAGGCTTATTGCTGCGTGGTGCGAGGGCTACGCTGGCGGCCACTGCCACGCGGCTGGCCAACTACATGTGCGTGGCACGCACGATGACAGCCCGCCCGCCCCTGGCTCACGGGGGGCGCCGTCGGCTGTATCGGTCCATGGTGCCGAAGGACGACAGCCGACTGAGCCGATGAATGTCCGCCAGGTCAGCGTTGTTGACGGTATACTGGGACATGCTGCCAATTGTCGGCGCTGACGGCGCGGCAGCTGCGAACGGCGGATTTGCGCCGGACGCAGGTAGGGCCGACGCCATAAGGGTTTGCTGCTGAATACAGCGTTCAAATCAGATTATGGCTGTATCAAAATCTATGGAAGGCGCCAGGACCGCGCTGAGGCCATACACGACATGGTCAGATCAGGAGAACATCATATAAAGGTAGAAGCTTGTTTGATATGTCAGTATAACATATCTCAATCACGTCGTCGCTATGATATCATAAAATGACGGGGCAAAGCTGTTCTATGTGCACTGCGTGCACATAGAGCACTGTGTGCACTGCTCTCTCGTCTCTTTCGCTACTATGAGTGTTGCCTGCTTTCAGAATCATAATGAGGCCGATATAAATTCCAGCACGTATACCAGGCTGCGTATCAATCCCACCTGGACATGCGAGGCTCCAAGTCGGCGAGCTCTGACTCGCATCTGACCTGGCAGCCACCGGTGCTGGTCACCGGTGCTGGTCAAGTTCAACACACCATCGATGCGGACAATATTATCATGAAGACCAGTTACAACTCTACCTTCTTATCACTATCCTCTCTCAAAGCTGCTGCTGCAGCCTCGCCCTCGGGCATGGGCTCACTGCTGCCCTCGCCGCCATGCGCCGCAACTGTTTCATGGCTGCCCTCCTGCGACTGCACCTTGGCGCCCTCCTCAGCCTCCGCCGACGAAAACGTGGCCTCCGGAGGAATCAGCACCTGTTTCCGCCGCTCGATGATGGCCTCTAGCCGCTCCTCAATGGACGCAACCTCGTCCTCCTTGCACCGCTTTGCAATCCGCTCACACAGCACAGGTGCCACGCCTGCAGGGTTGGGGTGCACCAAGATCATGCTAAAGCATGCACCATCACTCCACATGGGACCTGTGCAGCAACCCATCCCACATACCAGCCACCCTTCGTGACAAAAGCAGGCCGGCAGGTTTGGCAAGGAGCCGCCCAGCAGACAGCCGACCCATGCCATGCAGGCCGCTTTCATTTGCGACCTAGGCGCGTTCCGCAGCACCCGTCACTCCATCAACTTTGCCTCGCCACAGCCGCAGTAAAGTCACGCGACCACTAGACAAGGATAAGGCGCAGCCCCACTCACCCTGCTCCGTCCCAAAGTCGTCGTTCTGTAGGGCTTCAATAATTTCGTCTTCGTGCCTGTCCACCAGGGCGCTGCAGAAGTTGGTCAGCTCCTTGTGCTGCTGCTTCTCCTCCTCGCCGTAGGGCCGCCTGTTTGGTGGTGGTCGGGCGAGCACCCGCCAACGCGGTGTTTGTGTTTGCATACATGCGTGTGTCCAATTGTGATGTATGTAGCGGTGCGTGAGTGTGTGTGTGTGTCTGAGAGATAGAGAGCGTGCGCGTGTGTGCGTGTGTGTGTGCACGCACGCACACGTGTGAGTGCGTGCGTGCTGTGTGCACGCATGCGTGCATGCGTGCACGTGGTGTGTGTGGGTTCATGCACGGTACGCTGTATATGTGGCATGACCGCGCACACTCAGGGCCACTGCGAGACCCAATCAGCATCATCTGCACTGATGCTGCTCTACCTCCTGCAAACATTCATGCAATCCTCCAAGCCCAAACACAGGATTTCCTTGAAAGCACGCGCTCATGTGCCCCTATAACCCACCTGCCACCAATGTCCCCCAGCCGGCTGTCGTCCCCCTTTGACCGCGCCCAGACCTTGAGCGCCCTCCGCTTTGTCGCGCTCCCCGCGTTTGCCGGCGCGGCGTCCGCAGGGAGCGGCTCTTCCGTGACCCTGATCATCAGGTTGCTGTCGCCCGTGTCGTCGCAAAGGTTGTCCAGTAGCTCAACGGCGCGGAGCTCGCTAAGCCTGAGGGATGGCGGGAGTGGGGCGATTGCACACCGACAGGATGTATTTCAACATGAAGTTACCCTGAAAGTATGCGCAACTAGCTGGATTGTCTTCATGAGCTAGGCATGATGGATGCCAGAACGCCCGGTCAAAACTGGGCCGCCAGCTGGGCCCCTGATGTCTTGGTTCAAATGGGCTCGCGGCCAGGCCGCCCCAGCTCACTTGTAAGCAATGACCTTCCCGTAACGCTTGCCATGTTTGTCCAGGCGATGACGGAGGTCCAGGTGGTTTCGGGGCCTCTCCGCGTCCAGACGCCGCTGCAGCTCGGCCTGCAAGGCAGCACATGTTGACCGAGTGACATGTCGCTAGGATACGGTCTGTCGGCCTGCTGGTGCCCTCATGTGCTGTGAAGACATGCGCGGCCTTCATAAGTGCCAAGGGTTTCACAGTTCCAGCAAGAGAATCAAGACATCTTTCTGGCACAGAGCAGGTTCCGGGCTTGCAGCAGCGTCGCCCCTGGCGTGGGGTCGGGGTCGCTAGTGCGGGCCTAGCACAGTGATTTGCCGAGTGTGCGCTATGCGCAAACTGATGAGCCATCTGAGTTGTACACCCTCGGCGAGGAACAGCGCGCAGGAGTGCTCCATGCCTCGATCTGCAAGCACTTTGCACGGCAAGACACTCGATCCTGGCCCCTCATTGCCACGAGGTCACTCTGCTCACCGCTACAGCGGCACACGCCGAGCACGGCGCATCGATAGCGGTCACGGGAACCTGGACAGCACTAAAAGCCACCAGGGCTATGAACAGCATCAGCGGACCCATCACGTCGCTAGTCAACTGTTTTTCTTCAACGTGATTGCATTGTCGCCTGTGTTATGTCCGTCAGGGTGCGCCGGGTCAGTTCTCAGCACACCCAAGGCAAAGCATGAAGCTCACCGTGCACCTTGGTTGATGCAGGCATCGATGGAAAGTCAATCTTGGTTTTAGATAAATAAACATCTCAACAGCATTACAAACTGACCACACCATGAGTTCGGTTCATATGTCTGCCTGCGAGCGCCTTTGGGCGAGTTATAGTTGATGATTCGCAACAGAGGACTTCAGCAGACGTGCGTATGGTGGGTGCTCAGGAGGCGGACATGCATGCTTCCACCGCCGCGATCGGCAGGCGAGGGCCTGCCATCCGCCGCAGCGACTACTTCCAAACCAACTGCGCTGACGGCGTGTGCCTTTGCGCCGCCATGCATGCTATCTGCAGTGCCATAAGCGCTGGGGATGCCTGCCATGGTGCCCGTGGGCGGGCGCATGCGGGGCCCGCACCTTGGATTGGACAAACCAGCGAAGCTCGAGGCAGGCAGGGGGGAGCAGCTGGAGCCGCCCTGCATCTCTGTGACAACAGTCAAAAACTACTTCAAGCTGTCCTTTTGCCAGCGTTATCTAGCCCTTTTGCAGCTGGTGAAGGGCCAGCAGCAGCAGCAGCAGCAGTCGCAGCAGCAGCAGCAACAGCAGCAGCAGCTGTGGGCCCAAGCCGGCGGTGCTGCTGCTGCTCGGGCAGAGGCGGCGACCGATATCTCATCGAAAGCAGCATCTGACGAGTTTGACCCCGCCCTTGCCGAGGCGGGGCAGCGGCAGGAGGAAGCTGTGCTGCAGCTGCTCGATGGGTGGCTGCGTCATGCCACTGTAGCGGAGCACCAGCCGCAGCCCACCCATGGCGGCGGCAGCGGCGATAGGGGCAGCGGCGAGGCGCCGCAGGTGTGCAACCCAAGTGGCAAGAGCGACTGCCACTGGAACGACGTCGTCCTTGCTCTCCCCGGCCTCATCGCCGCGCGCCGTCGCGCGGCGTGGCGGGAGGTCCAGCTGCCGCTGGGCGGCGCCGCGCCGCCCGGCCTCGGGGTACGGCTGAGCGGCCGCATCGACTTCCTGCTCCTCGCTTATGAGCCTGCAGCAAGAGGGCGCGGCGGGGTCAGCGGCACGTGCCCCGTGCTTGTCGTCGTGGAGTGCAAGTCGTCGCAGCACCCAGACACCAGCCACTACGCCCAGATGGCGTTATACCAGCTGTCACTGCGCGCGCTGCTGCAGCGCCTGCCCCCGGTGGCGGCGGTGGACTGGGGCGCGCTTGCCGCCGGTCTGCGCTGCGTCCTCGTGACAGCCGCCACGCTGCCACACACGCTGCGGCGCGGAGGCGCCCCGGGCGCGGCCGGGGTGCCAGGGCCCGCGGCAGAGGCAGCAGCGGCGGCCTGGGTCGAGGCGCAGATTACGGGGGCGGCGGCGGACGGAATTGTGGCGCAGGTGGAGGCGGACGTGGTGCACCACCTGCGCCGTGGCGGCGCGGCCCAGCGCGCGCTGCTGGCCGGCGCTCTGGATTGCGGCGAAGGGGGCGTTGTTGCTGACAGCGCGAGCGTTCACAACAGCCGCAAGATGTTTGAGCGGGAGGCTGACGATGAGCTTCCTGATTTGGAGGACCTGCCTTTTTCATACGGCGCCCACTGCAGCGGCTGCCCGTCACGCGAGGCCGCCGCGTGCCGCCGCCGCGCGGCCGCGCGCTCCGCGCCGCAGCTCGCTGGCTGCGGCGCGGCCGCGGCGGCGGAGCTGGCGCGCCGCGGCGTGGCGAACCTGGCGGGCGTCGCGGCGGTGCAGGCGGGCGACGCTGAGCTGGCGGCCGCCAGCCTGCCGGGGCTCGCGCAGCAGGCTGTTCGGGCGCGGTTGCTGCTGGAGCAGCGGGAAGAGGGGCTGCAATCGCAGCACGGGGGGCAACCGGGCGGCGGCCGCCGTCCGCAGGTGGTTCTGCACCAGCGTGCGGCGATGAGCAGCGTGTTGCCGCCGCGCTCCGCGGAAACCGCGCGCGCCTACCTCGTTTGCGTGTTTGACGCTGTCTCCCAGCGACTGGCGGCGCTCGCGGCGCGCTGCGTCAACGGCGGTGGCGTTGCAGAGCCGCGGGAGCCGCTGCGGCAGCTGCCCGGCAGAACGGCGTGGGCGGCGTGCGAGGGCGGCGGCGCTGCGGCGACGTTTGTGTGCTGCGCGCCTGAGGCGTATTGCACTTCTGGCAGCGCAAGTGCTGCTGCGACGAGCAGCGGCATCCGTGCCATGTGGATGGCAGCGGCGCACCCCAGGCACCAGGATGCGCAGGAGCAGCAGCAGCAGCAGCAGCAGCAACAGCAGCAGCAGCAGCAGCAGCAACATCAGCAGCAAGTGTTGGGCAGTTCAGATGACCTCATGCAGAAGAGCGACGATATGCGAGAGGCGCTGCTGATTGCAGAGGCGTACGAGCAGCTGCTCGGCAGCTGCGCGGGCGGTGCCGCCAGGACGCTGCACGTCTTTTGCTGGGCCGTATCAGACCTGCGGCGACTCACCTCCCGCTGCTACTGCCTGCTGCGCCGCCCCGGCGTGTCGAGAAGCAAGAGGCTGGTGGCGGCGCTGCGCGGGGTGGTGACGCTCCTCGGCGGCCGCGGCGCGCTGGCCGGCCTGCCGGCCGCCGCGGCGGGGGAGCAGTGCATGACGTCATCGCTGCAGCAGGAGCTGGCGGGAAGGTATACGACCCCCCACCTGCGGCCGACGCTGTTTGATGCGGTTGGGCTGACGTGGCGGTCGCGGGACAGCCTCCCCTTCCGCTGGGCTCGGCCGCTGCAGGCGCGCGTCGGCGCGGCGGCCATCGAGGCGGACCTGCGGCGGCTGCTGGGGCCGGCGGCGCGGTGGGGGTCGCATGCGCCGCCGGCGATGCTGGCCGCGTATTGGATGGGGCGCCGCCAGCAGGGGGGCGCGGGGGACGCCCCGCCGCTGCTGCCCGAGGCGTATCAGCCTTATGCGGCTGCGTCGCAGCCGGGGCACTTCGAGGCCTTTCTCGCAGCGATGGCGGAAAGCATGTCGTTCCTGGAGGGAGAGATGCAGGCCGTTGGGGGATGCAACCCCAAGGTTGTCAAGGCCCCGCTTCCGGCGCTCGCCGCGTTCGCGGGACACAATGGGTCGGATGGGGCGGCGGTCGCCGCGGCGCGGCGGCGCGCCGCGGAGGGCGACGCATGGGCGTCGCTAGAGGGGCCGAAGGGGCTGGTCGCGGCGGCTCTGGAGGCTGTCAGGCTGGACCGCGGCGGCGCTGCGGACGATTGGCTGCGGGACGCGTGCAGGTGGGTGGTGCGACGACAGCCGCGTTGCGGGTGGTGCACCGTCAGCCGTGCTGCAGTCGTTGCAGCACGTCGCCTCCGAGAATGCATGACTGAGCCATCGTGCCGGCCCGCCCCGCTGCAGCCCGTGCGAGCTGAGCCCTCATTTCAGGTGTAATGTCAACAAAGGTCCCCCCGGCTGCTGCTGCCCTGACCGCCTCGAACCGCACCCCCCACGCCCTTGGCCCCGGCGTGACCGTGCTTCAACCTCTGCAGGCCGCTTCAGGAGCGCGTGGCGGCGGCCCGCAGCATCCTGCTGAAGTCGACAGGGGAGGGCGAGATTGGGCGAGACATCACATTTAAGGGCACCGTGTCGTCCCTTGCTGAGCCGTTCGGCGTGGACGGTCCCAGCGCCGCCGCGGGAGCGTTGCCGTTCGCGCTCGGCGACTTTGTGCGGGTGACGGGCATGTGGGAGACAGAGCTGCCGCTGCTGAAAGCGGGCCTGGGCAGCAGCCTTGGCGGTCGCGGCGTCAACGGGAGCGGCAGCGGCTGCCACAAAAACAGGGACACGGAAGCTGGCGACCCGCGCAGCTGGCTCCAGCGCCGCGGCGCCAACTGCATCGTGTCGGGCATCGCCCGAGACAGCGTCACCGGTGATGTCACAGTGACGCTTGAGCCGGCATGGGTCAAGGTCAAGGGAGAGGACACGGGGCGGCTGCACCACTATCACATGGAGCCGCTTTCCCCGCCCAAGGCGTTCGCATTTGACTACGCGGTGGTGGACGCAGGGGTGGCTGACTATGTTGGTCACTCTGTCGACGCAGCACTGACTAATGCAGTTGCCACACAGGCGGCCGGCGCCGCGGGCGCCGCCGGCCCTGCCGCAGGTTGGCTGCCCCTGCTGAGTAGCCCTGCGGGCGGCAGCCTTGAAGGCAGCAGCCACGGCAGCAGCATCGATGGCGCCGCGGCGCAGGTCCAGGAGCAGGCGGCGCGCCTGCTGTCCGCGGCGCGGTGGTGCGACGCGGGCGGTCGCCAGGGCCGGCTGCAGCAGGACCAAGCAGCCGCCATCCAACGCGGCCTCCCTCTCCCAATCCAGTTGATCCAGGGGCCACCGGGCACAGGCAAGACCGAGGCGCTCGCCGCGGCTGTTGCGGCCGCGCTGCTGCTGCAGCCGGGCTGCGCGCGCGTCGGAGTCGTCAGCCACACACACAGCGCGATCGACAACCTCCTGCTGCGCTTCAGCCGGCGGCGCGGCGCCTACAGGGAAGCTGCGGAGAAGGTGCTGGGGGAGGCCGCTTCGCCACGGCTGGACGCGCAGGCGGCGAGGATGGCGAGCAAGGAGCGGTGGGCGGCGTCGGAGCTGCCGCACGAAAGCGATGTGAAGCGGTTTGATGCCAACTACACCCCCGTCGGGTGAGTGGTGGCGATGGAAAGGGGTGGGCCGCAGGTCTTGCTAACAGCACTGTGTTGCAGAGGATGGTCTCCTGAGGTGCGATGTCGCCTCGGGTTTTGTCGTGCTATCACCATACTCTCTGAGCATAGCGCCCTACATGCTGCCGCCGCCCTGCACCACTTTCCCTCCTCCCCTCCCGTCCGATACCTCCCTCCGCAGCCTGAAGCCAGCCGTGGCCGGCGGCCCCCTCGTCCTGGGCGCCACCCCGAACGACCTTTTGAAGCTCTGCAGCAAGCTCGGGCCAGCCGGATTTGCGCCCCTTGACCTTCTGATCGTCGACGAGGCCTCCATGCTGCCTTTCAGCGCGCTGCTCGCCGTCGTGCTGGGCGCGCTGCGCCCCGGCGGCCGCCTGGTGCTGGCGGGTGACCACCGCCAGCTGGCGGCGATCACCAAGTACGATTTCGAGGCAGACCTGCGGCCGACGGTGGTGATGCACGGCGCGCACGCGAGCGCGTACGACTACGTGCACGCCCTGGGGGCGGCCGGTGAGCGCCTAGGCTTGGACGTGATTGACAGTTGACGAGGTTGATGGGATGGCACTGTTTTTTTGTTGCTAATGGGGAAACGCCGTCAGTTTCTTGGACAGCGCCGCTGTCACTGTCGCTGCTGCAGGGTGAGTGCCCACCCCTGGGGCGGGCCTTGGAACGGGATTCAGGGGAAGGTTGTCACAGGTCCCGCCGTGCTGACTCCCTGTTACGCATCTGCCGACCTTCAATGCCTTGCCGCGGCGCCGCGCGCAGGCGCGCCCCACGTGGCGCTGACTCAGCTGAGCACCAGCTGGCGCTTCACGCGCTTCGAGGAGCTGCGGGCCCTGATCGCATCCGTATACAAGCGGGACGGGCTGGAGCTGGCCGCGGCTGTCCCTGCAACTGAGGACGACGCGCCGAGCGATAATCGTGCGCGCGCCGCCGCATGGGTTGACGGCGGCAGTGGCAGCAGCAGCACCGCTGGCAGCGGCGCGGAGCCCGTCCCAGCGGCGCCAGAGAGGCGCGGGCGCGGCCGGCCGCGCAAGGAGCAGGCCCCGGC